CGGGGTTTGACCCGCGACCTACTGTGCGCGAAATCTCGGAGAGATTTGTAAGACAGTCGCCATAACCACTAGGCCATCCCTGCACTCGAAGCGGCAATCCACGACGCGAACCCATCTCATTTCGGAAGCACTTTTGCCGATCCGAGCTCACCACACGGAGTCGGCCAAGAACGCGATGGGCGAGGCGTTTCTCGAGAATTGCTCGACTTTGATAACGCTGTAGACAGCGTCGTACTCGTCGCGCAGCGCCTCGAACAGTCGTCGCAACGCTGGCAAAGTTTCTCCTCCTCGCCGCGTTGTGCGCCACCATGGCGCAAGCGCAGCAAGAGCAATGCGCCGAGGACAGGCTCGCGCGCTGGCGCAAGAAGTGGGACGCGAAGGCGACGAACTTCCACCTCGACGAGGAGCACCCGGTGCTGACGCGCCACGCGCCGCCGCTGGCGTCGGGCGCGCGCGTGCTGCTGCCGCTCTGCGGCAAGTCGCTCGACCTCGCGGCGCTCGCGGACCGCGGGTTCGACGTCGTCGGCGTCGACGGCTGCGCCGGCGCGCTGGACGCGTTCGCCAGCGAACATGGCGGAAACGTCGAGCCCGGCCCGAATCATCTGTCGGTCGTGCGGCTCCCGTCGACGCGGACCGTGGGCTTCAAGGTCGGCGACTTCCTCGGCCTGGCGCCCGGGGACCTCGGCGGCCGGTTCGACGGCGCCTTCGACCGCGGCGGCCTCGTGGCCGTGGAGCCGGCGGACCGCCGAGCCTACGCGGCGACGCTCGCGGATTTGGTGCGCGGCTGGGTGCTCCTCGTCGCCGTCGAGCACCCGCCCTTCGACGGCGGCAAGCTCGGCCCGCCCTTCGCCGTGCCGGAGGACGCCGTCCACGAGCTCTTCGACGGCGCCTTCGACGTGGCGCTCCTCGAGCGCGAGGACCGCATAGACGCGGAGCCCGCCTGGCGCGAGCGCGGCTGCGACGCGTTCTTCGAGACGAGCTACCTCCTGCGGCGGCGACAGTAATTTGTCCCAGCGCGGCGACCCCTAGGCTAGGAAACTGCTCCAGCGGCCCCCAGGCTAGGACGTCGTTAGCCGCCCCGAGGAGCTCGCCTGGCGCGTCTGCTGCATGCGCTCCGTCGCCCACGCGCGCGCCTTGCCGTCCGCGTACTCGCTGAGCGCCGCGACGTCGATGCAGCCCGTGCCGTCGACGTCGAGCGTCTTGACCAGCTTGGCGATCTCGTCGTCGGAGATGTCCGCGGGCTTCAGCCGCAGGTCGCGGCGGATCATGCGATGGAGCTCCGCGAGCTCGAAGCCCTTGCCGTTGCGGTCGAAGATCTTGAAGAGCTCGTGGCCCTTGGGCTCGCGCTTCCAGACCCGGCGCAGGGACGCGGCGCGCGCGGCGAGGGCCGGCTCGAGCTTCGCGTCGCCCTTGCGCAGCGCCTCCGCGACGGCCGCGTCCTGCCGCTTCTCGCGTAACCGCTTCGCGCGCGCGGCCTCGGCCTCCTTCTTGTAGGCCAGCGCGACGACGTCCTCCTGCGACAGCTGCTGCTTCTTGCCCCGGGCGTTCGGCCGCGCGGCCTTCTTCGGCGACGCGGCGGCCTTGTGCGCCGCGTCGTCGTCGGCGGCGGCGGCGCCGTCGTCGCCGCCGAGGGCCGCGAGCATCTCCCGCAGCTCGCTCTCCAGGATGTCCTCGTTCGCCGCGAGGCGGTTCGCCACGGGGATGAGCTTCGACAGTTGGTGCGCGTCCATGGCGGTCCCGGACGCGCGCGGCGCTGCCCAGCCCCGCGGGTGTTTCGTGCAACGAAATAAAGTGTCCGTGTCGTTGACGCTCGTGGCTCCTCACTCGTGCTCCTCCTCGCGCCGCAGAACGACCGCTGGCCCGAGGTCGAGACCACGCTCCACGCCGCCGGCTACCGGCTCTACCCGCTGACGCCCGTCGACGCGGGCTTCGGCGCGGGCGACGCGCCGCCCGCGCGGCGCGACTTCGCGGTCGACGGGCCGCGCGTCCCGGAGATGGCGGGCGCCGTCGCGGACGTCGACGTGGTCGCGGTCCACCGCGACCTCCTATTCATTGCCCCCTAGCGGCCCTTAGCGCGGCCCCAGTCGCGCGCGAGCGCCGCGCCGGCGCCGGGGGCCGCGAGGTCGCGGTGGACGCAGAGGACGTCGAGCATCGTCGCCCAGAGCCGGTCGTCCATGGGCGCGAGCGGCGACCCGCCCGCGCGCCGGAGGGGCAGGCCCTCCCCCAGGACGTCGTGCGCGCGGTAGCCGTAGGGCGGCGGCCGCAGGCTCCGGTCGTGCGGCGCGAGCGGGTACAACGTGTACCCGAGCGCGCCGAGGTCCGCGGCGAGGTCCGCGGCGGCGCCGTCGTCGTAGTGGAAGGGGAGCCACTCCAGGATCACGACCAGCGGCGGCGCCTCCTCGAGGAGTTTTCGCGCGCCGCGGAGCGTCGCGGGCTCGGAGCCCTCGTTGTCGATCTTGAGCAGGATCGCGCGCTCGCGCGGCACGAAGCCCGCGGCCCGCTCGGCGTCGAGCGTCGTCACGTTCAGGCACACGCCGTCCGAAGC